ACACCCACTACCTACTCCAAAGAAGGTACAGTTAATGCCGCCCTCTGCCTTACCCTTCATAGTGTCACCTCCAGTGGTGGCTGACAAGTGATAATCTGTTGTATGATCAGTACCTCTTGTGGGATCCATACTGAGCTAAGTCAGGCAGCTACTTCCCACACACTAGCAACTCCTGCTGCCTCTGGTATATGCCATCTGGCCATTCCAGAATGGCCTGAAGCCCTCCCTGCCTGGAGAGTTACACGTAGATACTTCTGAAGTCACTAGAATGACTTGGCATCCAGCACTGTCTCCACAAAGGGAGTAGTGGCAAGTGCTAAGCTAACACTTCCCTTCAGCCTGTTCTCTGAGACCTCCGATTTCCCTCAGCCCCAGCCTGGACTTCCATGAGCAAGCCTGCATCTCAACTGGCCCCCAACTCCAATGAGGGCACAGAGCTCTTCCTAGTCTCTTCTTTGGGCTGCTATGTTTTTGTTTTTGTTTTTGTTTTTTTTTTAAACAGGACACTCAATATGTAAGAACCCAAGACTCCAAAGATTAATGGCAGGATTCTTGGTGATCCTATGAGGACATGGACTGACTACACACCTAGCTACCCATTTCTGAGGCCATTAAGTAAAGGAGTCCTAGACTGAGAGCTCTCATACTTTACTGGCCAAGGGTGATGGATGACTCTGACTTGAAACCAGAGAGCTAGGGCTTTATGAGGCTTTGCTCTGCTCATCAGGAATTGAGAAGGCACAGAGAGGTCTGGGAGACATCATCTCACCAAGGTACCCCAGGAGCACTCAAGGCAAACTAAGTATAAAGTGTGGTGGAGCACAAGGAAGGGAAGGGTCCTACAGAACCTTCAGACCACAGACTGAGACACAGGCTCTGGGACTAGACACTCCGGTGCAGGTTGGTAAAGCTGGCAGGTAGGCAGTGAGGACAGAAGGCCGGCCTCTCACCTCTGTGCCCGAGGGGACAAGAGCTGGGGGAACCACAACAAACCTGTAGTCAAAGGGCCAGAGTGCTGGCTTTCCATCCCTGTTTTTGTTTTCTCTGGTTAAGTAAACTATCAATTAGTGTCTATAACATAGACCACAAGGTTAAGTTTTAAGCATGTTTTTCCTCCTCAGAATCAAGTCCTTTTTTCTGAGTCCAACATGAGCCATCAACGGCATCTTGACAATCAGATGAGCCTAATCCATATGTATTAAGGGGCTTGAGCTCTGCACGACCCCAGCCTGTGGGAACTGAGACGCTAATTAAAATGTGAGGTGAAGGGATGCTCCCCAAGACCTCTTACCGCTGCACACATTCCTTCACCACCTCATACTGGCCAATGGAGGCAGCTGTGTGAAGATCCAAGGGGACATCCAGCTCCTCTCGGCTGACCTGTGCACCAAGCCCATACCACATGGACAAGCTGCAGTTCAGGAGCTCCGGCTCGCTGGCTTCATCGCTGAGCTCAGACATGGCTGCAGAGGGAGGCCCAGGGGTTAGTTCTTCCTCCCTGGATGTTCCAAGGATGAAATACTCCTACTAACGGCAGACTATCATCTCATTCCTAAGAAAATAAAGCCACCAAGGCTGACTTAGCTTTCTTCAAACAGCAGCGCCACCACAGGGCCACCAGACAGAAGATGGGAGCATCTGCTTCACACCACAGGCTCCAGCCAGGTTTTATAGGAGCCTGGTAACCTCTCCACTGATAGTAAAACAGTGCAAGCTGAGTTGTTTAGCACTACTGGCTGAATTGGGGTGTGCAGCAAAATTGAGCTGTGTCTAGCATCTCCAGCCCCCAGTTCCTCGCTAATGGACACAGATGTTGAAAAGGGCTGCTGCCACAAATACATGGGGCTAGGTGTAGTGGCATACCCCTGTAATCTCAGCACTGGCAAGGAGCAAAAGAGGCAGGAGGATTATGAATTTAAGGGCAGCCTGGAGTACATAAGTTTAAGGCCAGCTTGGCTACATAGAGATCCTCTCTCAGTGAAACTAAGTGGGGCCCAGAAAAATGGCCCAGGTGTTAAGAACATGTATTGCTCTTACAGGACCCAAGTCCAGTTCCCTGACCCTATCTATGTCCAGTGGCTTACAACCTCCTGGAACTCCAGTGTCAGGGGATCCAAGAGCCCCTTCTGGCTTCCTTGAGGATCTGCATTCATGTGTGCACACACCACCCCCCAGATACATGCATACATATAATTTTAAGTCTTTTAAAACAAACCAGGGCTGGATATGGCTTAGCAGTTAAGAGCATACACTGCTCTTACAGAGAACCTGAGTTCAATTCCCAGCATCCACCTGAGGCAGCTTACAACTGCCTCTAATTCTAGCTCCAGGGGATCCAACACTCATATGCACATGCCCTACACACACATACATACACACACACACAAAAAAAAAAAAAACCCACACACATACACACATAATTTAAAACAAAAATAATTTTTTTTTTTCACTGTAAAGTTTATAAAATTGGCGCAAAACATTGTGATAATGTTACAATACCAGTTTTAAGAGTTCAGTGACTAATGGGGAGCCGATGGGATACATGCAGAACTGTGAAAGCGATCTCACTTAGCCAGCTGTACGCGTAGACTGTAAATCTACATTCAGATCACAAAAATAAAATTTTAAACTTAAAAAAATGTAAGGACTAGAGATGCAGTGGTTAGACTTCATATCCACAAACCAACCACATGGAAGGCTATGCATGGAGATGTCCAACTTAATTATGACACTTGGGAGACGGAGACAGGATTGTGAGTTTAAGACCAACCTGGGATACATAGCAAGAACTTCTAAAAGAAGAAAAAAGAAAGCAGAAAGAGGAAGAGGAGGAGAGGAAGAAAAAGTAGGACAAGAAAGGGGAGGAGGAAGAAAGCCCCAGTACAGACTATAGACTGATCCCTGATGTTCAGCAAATGTTACCTGACTGGGAATCTACTTATGCAACCCTTTAAGTAGGAAAGATGGACCACGAGGGTAACAAGTGTGTGAGTCCTTTGTCCTGGGGAATCCTACTCAAACCAAAGTCAAGCCATTAACCTCCTAGTAGATTCCCAAGTCTGGGGCCACATGCTGTACAGAAAAGGGGGAGAAGAGTTCTGGGATACAGCTCGGTTGGCAGAGCACTTGCCCACTGCAGAAGGCCTTTAGCCCTGAATCTAATCCCCAGCATGGCAGCAAAGGGCTGGGGGAAATGGGAGAAGAGATAATGGCAGTTTACAGTGAACAGGACCCCGGTTTCCTGTTCTACTCTCCCCTGTGGAAATGGCCACTGTTTTGTTTTGAGGTAAGTTCCCACTGTGTAGCACAGACTGGCTTGGAACTCAATTTGTAGACCAGGCTGGACTTGAACTCACAAAGATACATCTGTCTTTGCTGAGATTAAAAGCATGTGCCATCATTCAGCTAAATGGCCACTGGTACTAATGATCCTTGGGGGCCACCTCAGTGTCCCCAAACCACCACAAGTGGCAGAATCCCTCCAGGACCATATCACGGTGTCCTGGCAAGGTTACTACTCTCAGAGGTTGGCACTGGTCCCAACCTCACCCAACCGAGTTGAGAGCAGCACAAGAGCACGTTTGAGAGACCTGGGGGTCAGGACCACTGCAGGGGAGGACACAGAACACCAATACCCACACTCAAGAGCTCTGGCAAACCAGACGGAAGCTGAAGGAAGTGTGTACCCACAAGTACTAATTCCCTGCTCCTAAACACCCTAGCACTCTTCAGTGCTGGTGACTGCAAAACAGACAGTGTTGGGCCTGGTAGCACACTTCCACATGGAGGCACAAGGGTCAAAATCACAAGCCTGCCTGGGCAGCTCAGTGACATCCAAATATTTAAAAAGCAGAAAGACAGCTGAGGATGTAGATTTATCTCAGTGATAAGAATCACATATAAATAGCTTGCAAGGCCCCAAGTTTTTTTTTTAAAAAAAAAAAGGACAACACACACAAACCACCAATCTGGGGGTCAGTGTGCAAACCCCCGATGAGTGATACGTGTGCATGTGTGCTGAGGTGAAAAACAGGACTGCTTTCTGGAACCACTAGCTTCTCACACTGCACAGCCTGAGCTCAAGTGGTACCTCAGGCTCATGGGGATACTCCTGAACCTGAACCAACAGAGCAGACACGTGCTCCCCCAACGGAGAAACATTAGCAGAATCCTGGCAAGGTTCACACCTCTAATTCCAGCTCTTGGGAGGCTGAGACAGGACTACCTTGGAGTTCAAGGCCAACCTGGGATACATGAAATGCTTACTCAAAAAAACACACAACCTGCCGGGCGTAGTGACACACTCCATTAATCCCAGCATTGGGAGGCAGGTCTCATTGTCAGTTCCAGGACAGCCTGCTCTGCACAGAACCCCACCCACCCAATCTCAAAAAAACAACTCCCCAAAATTCGATTCGAGTAAACCAAATGTTTCTATGTCTTCTGCACCTCACTACCAGAGCTTCAGTAGCAGCGATGATACATGTTACTCTTTATAAAAAAATTATCTTCTTTAAAACAACAACAACAACAACACATCCTGGTGGCAACTGGATGCCACTCCATTCCTTCAAGAGATCCGTCAAGGACTCGAGGGAACCCCTGCAGCCCAGGCGCGTGACGCGGTCCCGGCCCTACCGGGTCCGGCGACCGTGCGCGACCACAGCTCCCGGGTGGCGGAACACCCTGGCAGGGTCGCGCGTGACCCCTCCGCTCTGCAACCAAGGAGCCGGGCCCGCGTCCCCAAGCCCGGCGAGCGCCAGGGCTGGGCGCCGGGCGGACTCAGGGCGCCTCAGGCAGCGCCTCTCGGAGAGCCCCGCCGGGGCCCGGCCTACCTGCACGGCCTCGGCTTCCCGCGCCACCCTCCAGACAGATGCCGCGCACGTCCCCTCACCGGCCCACGGCCCGCCGCCCGGCCCACCCCGGAAGTGACTGCCGGAGCGCGCGGGGCACCCCGGGAAGAGGCGGGCGTCCTGTTATTGGCCCGCCACAACGGCCAATGAGATGGCAGAAAGGAGGAGCCGCGCCTGAGGCCCGGAGGTGGGCGGAGCCCAGCGAAGAAGAGGCGCGACTGGCGCTGCCAGGGCCCGGACCGCGGTCGGTGGCCCTGTTCAGCCCGGAGACAGGGCAAGTGGACAAGCGGAGCGGCCGAAGCGAGTGGGAGACCGCGAAAACCCACGAGACGCGGGGCTGATCCCGCTGCGGGTGGCGGGGAGTGCGGTCCTCCTGTTTCAGCGCCAGCAGGTTTGTCCCGCCGCCTTCCAGTCCCCTTGACAACGACGCCTGGCGCGGGGCGGAGCGAGGCGGGGCCAACGGGCTTCGGGGAGAAACCGTGAGCTCCTTGGTCCTCCGATCCCGCCCATGCCCTTCCCTCTGTGGTCAAGCCCTCCTCTAACGCCAACGCTTTGCGCACCTAAAGGACGATCAGTAGTCTTGGGTGGCGCTCTTCACCTCCGTGATTCTGTACCTCGCTGCCAGAGCCCCTGTTAGGAAACATCCGGCTGGTGGGTATGCCAGGAGCGGTCCCACCTGCGCTCTCAATTCAGGATCGCCAAACACCTGTCCTTGCTTACTTACAAGATGCAGAGGCTTAAAGCCCCGACTGACCTCCCTGCTGCTGCCCTGGTTTGGCACCGCTAGTTGATCTGCCTGGCCCGCTTGGCCTTCACCCCACAATCCCAAAGTCCCTTTGTCCACTGAGGGCCAAGCACATTTTTTTAGGGTGAGATACAAAGCGGGGCGGGGCTGAGCCAGCGAATTATTTGAATGATAACTAACAAAATCTTCTGGATAATGGATCTTAAACCCCTAACTTTTAAAGTTTATACTTTAATTATATGTATATGTGTGAAGGTAGGTATGTATGTACTTCGGTGCAGGTACCAGTGGACACCAGAGACATAAGTTCTCCCTGAAGTAGAGGTTACAAGTAGTTGTGGTTTGGGGCACCGAATTCCAGTCCTCTACAAGGGTAGTAGAGGACACTCTTAACTGCTGGGCCATCTCTTCAGCCCCTAAATCCTTTTTCTCATTGCTGGGGATTGGATTCATGTCCTGTCCATTATATATGCCAGTCAAATGCTCTACCAAAGAGGTGCATTCCCAGACCTTAACTTTGATTCAACCTCTCTTTGGTATTTATCAACCTCTCTATGCCTATAAGATGGAAATAATAATAATAATAATAATAAATATGTCTTAGGGTTTCTATTGCTGTGAAGCGATACCATGATTATGGCAACTCGTATAAAGGAAAACATTTAATTGGGCTGGCTTACAGTTTCAGAGGTTTAATCCATTGTCATCATGGTGGGACATGGTGGCATGTAGGCAGACATGGTGCTGGAGAAAGCTGAGAGTTCTACATCTGAGAGATCCACAGGCAACAGGAAGTGAACTGTGTCACTGAGTGTAGCTCGATCATTGGAGACCTCAGAGCCAACACACTTCCTCCAACAAGGCCACACCTACTCTGACAAAGCCACACCTCCTAATAGTGCCACTCCACACACACACACACACACACACACACACACACACACACACACACACATATATAATCTACTATATATGTCACGTATATTTTATATTTATACATATATCTCTTATCAGTATATGCACCTCTGTTTTCATATGCACATCATTAAGCACATCACACATACACATACCGACACCATGCTCCTGTGCACTCATCACTGCACACACCCACAGTAATACAAGCTTGCAGAACCAGAAGGAAATTGGTGGAAAATGGAAAGCTACAGATGTGTTTTCATCTTCAGATGATCAAGGCTTTGGGAAGGCTACCCATGCTAGTTTGTCCTTGGACACCTAGACACTGCCACCTCACCCCGTGTGCTCCACAGGGCTCCTCTGATGATGATATACAAAGAAAGGATCCTTTGAGCCGGGGCCCCCATGACATCTAAAGACAAAGACATGGTGTCCTTGCCGGTTTCTCCCTGGGATGCCATCCTTAAGGCTGCCAAAGACCAGCTGCCATCCCTGGATTCAGACTCCTCCCCGGTGAGCAAGCTCTTCTTCCTGGATGTCAGTTGTCCAGCCTGGGCAAGGACAGCTTTGGGCACTCCTCTCTATAGGCTTGGTTTTCATCACCAGTCCCTGGGATTGCTCTTGGGTACCTACTTCCTTCAGGCTTCCGTCTGGGTTTGCCAGAGCTCTTGAGTGTGGGTATTGGTGTTCTGTGTCCTCCCCTGCAGTGGTCCTGACCCCCAGGTCTCTCCAACTTGCTCTTGTGCTGCTCTCAACTCAGTTGGGTGAGGTTGGGACCAGTGCCAACCTCTGAGAGTAGTAACCTTGCCAGGACACCATGACATGGTCCTGGAGGGATTCTGCCTCCTGAGGAACACTGATAGTGCCCGTGGCCACTTGCACAGGTGCAAGGGACCCCTGGTTGTCCACTGGTCAGAGACGCGGCACACAGGTTGGCATAGGACATTTAGGGTGAAGGACAAGGGTTTAGAAGCAAGACAGCTGAGTGTGCCCTACCTGGGCATTTGGAAAGATGAACACAACAGAGCTGAGACTCGGGCATCACCCAGTGCTGCTTGGTGCAGCAGCAGAAGCAGATGATGACAGTACCTCAGTGCCCAGCGCTGTCATCGCTTTGTGAAGAAGTCCCTCTGAGGTGGCAGGCCAGTGCCAGCCTCTCTCCATTAGAGACAGCCAACCAAAGCTCCTGTCTTAAGTGATAAGTCAGTGTGAAAGGGAGCTGACCTCCACTGTTAGCTGCCCCTTCACTACCGTCATTCAGTGCCAGCATTAATGCAGTGCCTGCTGTGTGCAAGATCTTGAGCACAGCCTGTGAAAGGGGAAGCTCCCATCTCACCAACAGGAGGTGGTGCTGCTGAGCCTCGATTGGGCTTGACCCTTTGTAGAGAACTGACCTCCCCAGATGGGCCTGGGGAGGCTGGGCAAAGCATGGCTGCCTTTTCCTCTCAACCGCCCTGGTCTCTGCAGTCTGACTGTGAGGAAGAAGAACCCTTCATCTTTCAACGAAACCAGCCTGTCCTGATTCCAGACCTGGCTGAGGAGCTGGCTGAAGACCCTTTTGGTATTGAATCTGGGACCTGGATTGCTGTAGGGAGGAGTTCTTCACCTGAGGTCTGTGGGACACACGCTTTGGGGACCTACTAAGCTAAGTACCCTGGAGCTGGGTAGGGGTGGTGATTGCAAGTCTCCAAAGGATTCCACCGATAGCAAAGATCTAAATGCTTAGAACCACTGCTTTTGCCTCTTCCACCCTCAAGGACAGCCTAGTGTTGGGGTATTCAGCACGTAAGCATGGCACCCCCCAACACTGTAAGCACATTTGATTTTCTCTCTGATTTTTGCCACCTGCTACCTTTCTTGTTTTCTTCCAAGACACTCTGTACTGCCTGGCCATAGTCACAACTGCCTTCTCAACTGTCTCCTTAAACTAGGTAATCCATAGCCACTCAAGCTTGCTGAATATTCAGCGACTAAGTGCTCGAGCAGGAAGTGGAAGGGAAGTGTTCCATAAATGCCCTCACAGTGGTGCCCAGTGCTGGCTGCCTAGTAGCGGGGGAGGGGAGGAGTGGAAACAGCGCAGGCTTGGGCGTCCCAGTCACAGGAACTGCCTGCCCATCTCTGTCTCTCAGGTCCCTGGGGGAGACCAGTGCCTCTATCTAAACCCAATGATCCCTCCAGACCTGATGGTATGAGCACGCAATCTGAGCTACTTGGAAGCTGAGGCAGGAGCATCAAAAGTTCAAGGCAGGGGCTGGAAAGGATGGCTCAATAATTAAGAGAGCTGGCTGCTCTTGCAGAAGACCTAGGTTTGGTTTCCAGCACCTACATGGTAGCTCACAACCACATGTAACTTTGGTTCCAGCAGATCCAATGCCCCACCTTTGGCCTCTGTGGACCTGCATACACGGTGCACATAAACACACACACATATGTACATATAAAATTATAAATAAACCCAAACTCCAAGACATATCAGTGACTTGATGATGAGAATAAATTACTAATAGATCCCATCTGCAGCCTTTATCCTTGGCCACCCCAACCTGTCAGACCTGTTAACTCTTCTTGATGTGCTGTGGCTAAACATACCTTCCAATGAAGTTACTACAGAGGCCAATACCCATCTCTAAAGGCCAGGCTAGGATCCAGAAGCCACTCAACCCTGGGTAACCTCCCTCTGTTCAGGTCTTTCTGGCATCACTGTGGCAAACTGGGTATGCAAAGACTGAAGGTAGGAGACCACCTGATCCATCTCCACCACAACACTGTGTGAAGCCCAGCCCTCATAGGAGCAAGTGTAAAATAATACCCCTCATCCTCCCCAGGAGAACCTGAAAGGCAGCTAGGACTCTAGTCAGTTTAGGCAACATGATTTTCATGAGATGTTTTCTCCTTTTCTGTAAGGACTACCATATCCTCTGGGAGACGGGCAATAGGGAGTGGAATCATTTTGGAAATAGTGGTGATGTCTATATGACGGACAAGTTATTGAACTAAAAAGGGTCAAAATGGGGCCCATGAGATTCCTCGATGGGAAAAGACACATGCTGCTCAGCCTGATACTCTTGAGCTCCATACCTGGGACCCACATAGTAGAAGGAAAGTGACTCTCAGCCACCCTCTGACCTCCACTTAATCGTGCATAGTGTGTGTGTGTGTGTGTGTGTGTGTGTGTGTGTGTGTGTGTGTGTGTGTCTCAAGTATGTCTTTGCAGATTGTCACAGAGGATGCCTTTTTTCTCTAGCCACTTCTGATTCCTGAGAGACTAGCCATAGAACCCAGAAGTGGACAGAAGGTAAGACAGGAGGACTTGGCCCCTCAGGAAAGAGGAGGCCCTGGCTGGTCTCACCAGAGCTGTGTCAAAATCAGCCCTGTTCTTGTGAAGGCTGAGGAGGACCCACCCTGGCTGGAAGGCAACCTTAGAAGCCTGTCTTACCCCAAAGGACCCCAGAGTCCCCCATGGACTTCCCAGGGAGAAGAGGCCACCTTTCCTTTGGAAGGAAAGCTGAAGATAGAGCCCACAAGTACTGACTTTAGAAACTCTACAAAGCTCCAAGCCCTCCGCAGGGAGAGGAAGAGGATGATAGAGAAGGATATCCTTCAGAAAGTGACCCAGACTGCCCAGAACCCAGCCTGTGGAGACCAGGGCCAGGCTGCAGAGTCAGGACCCCGGCCAGAAGCCTCCTCAGAGCAGCCTCGGGAAGGATGTCCAGTGCTCTCACTCCAGGTAGGTGTCTCCACTGCCCAGCCTGCCCTCTGGCCTCTCCCCTGCAGCATGGCCACAGTCCTGCCACACTACTGAGGCTGGAACCAGCGTCTCCTCTAGGACCTTAGGCCCAAATCCCAGGTCCACTGGCCAGCAAGAAGCTGCTCCTGTCACAGTATGTGGAGACGCTTGCGTGGAGCTCACCCTCAGGGAGAATTGGTGACAGTAGGAAGAGAAGCCAACTCGAACCTTCTTTAGAGAACACAGATGACCCCAAGCATGAATGCTGAATTCACAGTCATGCATAAGACAGAAGCAGGTGCTGCTGAAGTGCAGTCCTCCCCGTGGGCAGACCCTACACACTGGGAGCAGCTGCCCAACTGAATACATTAGCGAGAAGTGGCAGGGAGACAGGCAGGGGTTGGGAGAGGAGAGGATTCTGTGAGCTACTGCAGACTAGAAAGGAGTCTGAAGACTACTGGGAGGGTGGATCTGTAAAGCACAGCAGTGACCCCTGTCCCTTGGTGGTAGGTCTGTTTCCCCCTATGGTGGGTGGGTAGCCTTGGGACAGCACAACTGTGGTCTGTGAGGCCACCCTGCCCACTGGACAGGAAAGAAAGCTGTCATACTTGCCCCGTTTTCAAAGGCTGTGAAGAATACCCTGGTTAGCTGTGCAAGCTCAGTTCCTTCCAGGTGGAGGTGGACATATTGAAAGATGCTCCAGCCTAGCAGGGGAAGGCCAAGCAACCCTGCCTCACTTTCTTTAACAACCTACGGAATGTGAGCCCACAGACATGCACAGAATTCTCCATTGCTGTTTATAGAAGCCAGCCATTTCATTCTGTCCACCCTCACATCTTTAATTCTTCCACACCTATTGGCTGCAGAAATTTGAAAGGTTTCACTTAAGCATCCATTGTAGGTTCCTGGCTCCCTCCCTCCACCTATGTGTGCAGAGCCATCAGGGCCAAGCTCTCCAGTTCCTGCTAGAACCACCAGGTTCTTAAAGTTGCAAAACTTTTTAAACATCTTACATTGGTATGAACCTAGACAGTTCGGACAGAGGAGAAGGCCAGAAAGTGTATTGGCTGGTAGAGTGCTTGTCTTTTATGCATCAAATGTATGTGGTGATATAGGCCTGTAATCCCAGAGCTTGGGGGTGAAGGTAGGAGAATCAGACATCCAAGGTCATCCTTGGCTACATAGAGTTCAAGGCCAGCCATAATGAGATCTTGTTTGAAAAAATTGGGGTTTCCTCCAGGTTAGTCACCTTTGTGCCCAAAAATATTGACCAACAAAAAAAAAAAAGCTTAAGGAAGGAGGTGTCAAGAGATGCAGGTCTAGCTGGGCGGTGGTGGCGCATGCCTTTAATTCCAGCAGTCAGGAGGCAGAGGCCAGCCTGGTCTACAGAGCGAGTAGACAGGACAGCCAAGGCTACACAAAGAGACCCTGTGTGTTTATGTGGTGGGAGTGGGGGGGGGAATGCAGGGGAAAGAATGCAGGGCTCACCTTAAAGGAAGGGCTTAGTGCATAATCATTCACAACAGACAGTGCATTCATATGCCAGATGCACCCAACCTCCAATACCACTCTCTTACGGTGTTTGGAGTCTAGACTGGGTACTTCCAGGTTCTTGGCCTCTTATTCAAAGAATTGAAAACAAGTTTCATACAGATGTGCAAAAGAAGCATGACAACTTTGGTGGAGCTACGTGACAACAGATTAAAGAGCTATATACTGTCGGGATTAATGGGGCTTCATTTTATGGGGTCTAAAGGAAAGGGGCTGGCTACTAAGAGGGCATAATTAGGATGCTTCTCTATTTAGATGGTGTATTCATTTTTCCTACTGCACATGTCCCTTTCCCATAATGCATCAGATTATAGTCCCTGAGTGCCTAGTTATGCATAGGTACAAGGCTGCAGTAAATAGGGGGTTTTCCCTAAAGGACTAGTGGAGACACCGTTCTTCCTCACTGCCTGGACACCAAAGCAGTTCAGGCAGGATAACCCACTCTTCTTCATACTTAGATACACTGGGAAATACACTTGAATGGCAGCTGTCTAAATTTGATTGTTACGGAGTTGAGAAGGGAAGATTTATACCATAGTCCAGAGAGATGGGAATACTTGTAGCTTAATGCAGGTAGTGGGGTGTCAGGGGAGTTCAGAGGTTGCTAGGTGCAGTGTTTGAAGAAGGGTGTGTCTGTCTGGTACATGCAGGTGAAGGAACTGTACTACCAATTGAATTATTACAATGGGGGTGTGGACAACCCAAAACCAAATGGGGCTGTTTCCTATGTTTGCCTGCCTCACTACAGCGGATGATGACTCATGATACCCTCTGCTGGCTGCAGCTGCTGTGAAAGCCGGGGCTCCTACTGCAGGACCCTCCTGCAGCCTCGGAATGACCAGTTTTATCGTTTCAGCAACTGGAAGACTGGGATTTGGATTACATCCTTCAGAGCCTGCCAGGGCGACAAGACAGCCAGGGTGACAGTGCTCCCAGAACTGCATGGTGGTTAGCTGAACGCTACCAAAACCAAGGTCTGACCTTCAGCACTGAAGTCCAAGTGAATCCCCATAAAGATCCCCTTCCAAGTCTCTCAGTGGCAAGGGTATGGGATGGGCAGAGCTCTTGTGCCCTTGCTGTCCTCAGCATACTCACTGCCCAGTCTTAAAAAGACTTCATTCGTTCATCATACATGTGGCTGCCTGCTCAGCCAGGATGTTCAGGCCTTCAACTGGACTTGCCCTGTGGTCCACCCTTTTTCTTCCTCCAGTTTCCTTCCTTTTCCTCCTCCTCTTCTGGGGAAGCAGAACCTGTCTCTTGCTCCCTTTCAGGCAGCTTTAACACTCATACATCCCTCATCCTATTTGAAAGTGAAGGCTGAGGATATACTCTCACTGTGCTCACGGCCTTGCTACAAACAGCTCTGTTTGTTTATTTTGGTTTTTTTGAGACAGGGTTTCTCTGTGTAGCCCTGGCTGTCCTGGAACTCTCTGCAGACTGGGCTGGCCTTAAACTCAGAGATCACTTGCTTCTGCTCTTAAGTGCTGGGGTTAAAGGCATGTGCCACCACTGCCTGGCTTATGAGCAGCTCTGTAAAAGGCAAAACTTCCCACATTCTCCCCACCCATGCAGGCCCTAAGAGCAGATGGACACATGTCTGAGCTGAGGAGCAAGGATGGCCTAGGTGTCAGTGACCAGTTCCAGACCAAAGACTTCACTAGTGCTGTGGGATGTTCTGTATGTTAAATGTGTTGCTCTGATTGGTTAATAAATTAAACACTGATTGGCCAGTAGCCAGGCAGGAAGTATAGGCAGGACGAGGAGAGAAGAGAATTCTGGGAAGTGGAAGGCTGAGTCAGAGAGACACTGCCAGCTGCCTCCATGACAAGGGAGATGTAAGGTCCTGGTAAGCCACAAGCCATGTGGCAAAGTTTAGACTAATAGAAATGGGTTAATTTAAGATAGAAGAAGTAGATAACAAGAAGCCTGCCACGGCCATACAGTTTGTAAGCAATATAAGTTGCTGTGTATTTACTTGGTTGGGTTTGAGCGGCTGTGGGCCAGGCAGGAAAACTCTAGCTACACACTAGACTGACAGCCACTGGGACATTTGAAGCAAGAAGTTTTTTTTTTTAAGTTTATTTTTATTTTTCATCTGTATAGTTGTTTTGCCTGTATATACGTATATGCACCACATGCACATCCATGCATGCACCAGGAAAGGGCAGCAGATCTCCTGGAACTGGAGTTAGATACAGTTGTGAGCCACTGTGTGGGTGCTGGGAATTGAACCTAGATCCTCTGCAAGAGCAGCAAGTACTCTTAATCACTGAGCCATCTCTTCCCAGCCCTACCTCTGTTTTGTTTTTGAGATGGGGTCTCACTGTTAAGCCTTGGCTTACCTGGAACTTGATATGTTGGTCAGGTATGTTGAACTCGCAGAGATCCGCCTGTCTCTGCCTTCTGAGTGCTGATATTAAAGGTGTACACCATCATGGCTTTTGTTTTGAGACAAGGTCTTATATGGTAGCCCAGACTGGCTGGAACTTTTGGCAATTCTCCTGCTTCAGACGTCAAAGTGCTGCCACTAATAAGCATGTGACAGCATGTCCTGCTTCAGCAGAGCTTCAGGGTGTGGTGGAGTGGTCCACAAGGTTGGCAGGCTTGTATAATGAGCACCTTCTCTGGTCTCTGTTGTAATGCTAATGGCTCTTTGATAAGCTATTCCTTTTTGTTGGGTTTTATTTTGTTGAGACATGTAGTCCAAGCTGGCTCAGACTCATTATGTAGCTGAAACTGGCCTTGAACTGATCTTGCTTCTACCTCCCAAGTGGTGAGATGATTGCCACTTCCACCAGACAAGCTGTTCCATTTGGAAAAGCTCTTGTATAAACACTTGCTGGGCAGTGGTGGCACATGTCTAATCCCAGCATTGGGGAGGCAGAGGCAAGTGGATCTCTGTGAGTTCGAGGCCAGCCTGGTCTACAGAGTGAGTTCCAAGACAGCCAGGGCTACACAGCAATCCAGTCTCAAAAAAACAAAAACAAACAAACAAACAAACAAACAAAAAACCCTCCAAAAAACTCCAAAAACTTGGGAACAGCCTATATTCAATAGGGGTCTAGCTAAAGCAGAGAGTGTTCTCAGCTCAATGAACAAAGTCTATCCGTAGAAAGATGTAGTGTGTAAAAAGGTGAATGGGGGCTGGGGATGTAGCTCAGCAACAGACTGCTTGGTAGCATGCTCAAGGCCCTAGGTTCAATCCCTAGTGCCCCCATCCCTGAGACACACACACACACACACACACACACACACACACACACACACACACCTACACACACACACCTATATAAGCCTGTTTGCTACTTTTTGAAAGGTACAAACATCTGCTCACTGTGGTCACCTGTGACCCTGTGTCACAATGCAGTGTATCAGCCTCTGTTGAAGACATGACTACCCCCTGACTTTGCCAAGTGCAGCTAGAAGCGTCAGAAAGATCTGGGGTGAGGCACATTGGAGCCTGAAGATTAGCCACTGAGAGGCAGACCCCGAGCTAAGTAACTCCCTCTCCTGGCAATCCCCAGGGCATACCAGTGGACTATCCCAGGACACAATCCTGGAGCAGCTGGCCCTCCTGTGTGCCACTCAGTCCAGAGTCTGCAACCATACCTGGAAGGTACCTGTTGACAAGCCCCAAGACCCAGAAGAACAGGAAGCCAGAAGCAGGTGGGACTCCCCACCACCCACACCCACGGCCGTTTCTTTAGAGCCAGCCTGCCTCTAGGCAGTGTTAATTGGGTCTATTAGTGGGACACTTGGCATGCACTTTCTCTTTGAATAGGGAATCTAATTAGGCAAATGCTCCATTATCTCTATTTTTACTGATGGGGAAACTGAGGTTCAGATTGCTATGCTTCTCCAGGCCATTAATGGCAGAGCTGTGTACTGAGCCCCAAAGCTGTCTCATTCGCTAACATTATACCCATCTGACTTCCCTGGGAACAACGGAATTATCACATAACCCGCCCCTCTGGTCAAGTTGATTAGTCTGACCTTGGTTGGTGAACCCAGCCAGGGCAGTGGGAGCCTTTCCCTGGAGCCTTGTAGCTCGGCTTGGGTTGAAGGGCCGTGGCAGCCGCCTGTCCTGTGACGAGGAGGAGCGCAGGCTGGGACAGAGTGAGGCTGGGGGGGGGGGGCGGAGAGTGGGGAGATGGGGGTCCCCTTTCCCACAGTGCTTCCTCCACGGTTTTCAGGAGTCTGGGGACTTTTCCCCCTGAAGTTGTTGTGGGTTCTGCCTGGCTGGCGGCAGGAACAGACATGGCTAGGCCTGTGCTTCCCAGTATGAGATTCAGCAGCTCCACATGACTGCTAAGCACTGGAAATGTGGCTAATGGGAGAACTGTTTAATTTTATGGATCCATTTGAATGATTTAGCTTGTGCTAAGCGGTCCCCAACTTAGTGGACAGTTTATTTATGATTTGAGGGCTGAACTCAGGGCCTCACACATGCTGGACACATGCTCTACCACTGCGTGGCATTCCAAGTCTTTTTATCTTTTTGGGTTTTTTTTACTATTAAGAAAAATTCTATTCATTTTACATACCAACTACAGATCCCCCTCTCCTCCCTCCTCCTGCCCCCCAGACTTCCCCTTCCAATACCCCCCCCCATTCCCATTTATTTTTTTATCTTTAAAGTCTTGCTAAGGCTGGAGAGATGGCTTGGTGGTTAGGGGCACCTTCCAGAGGACACAGGTTTGATTCCCAGCACCCACATAGTGATTCACAACTGTCTGCAACTCCAGTTCCAGGTATCTGATGCCCTCTCTGGCCTCCACAAGCAGGCATACAAATAGTGGATAAGCATGCATGCAGGCAAAACACTCATACACAAAAATCTTTTTTAAAGTACATGTATAAAGTCTTGCTAAGTTGCTGAGGCTGGCCTTGAACTTTGTCTTCCTGCCTCAGCCTCCTGAGCACTTGAACAGGCCTGCCCACCAGCCTAGCTGATACACAGCATGTCAGACTTGCCCAGTTCATGAGGAAGTGCTAGCCTGTCCGGAGGTGGCCTTGAGAACAGAAGGGTTCCAAGTACCCACCAGCACACAAAAGACACACCTTGAGTAGCTGCCCTGAGCACAGCGGTGGGACCTGCCTAGCAATCGGCAGGAGTAACAGAGGGGCCACCTCACCCTCCATTGCAGAAATGCTTGGGCAGAGAGCAGGAGGCTGAAGACAGAGCCTCCCACCATCTTCCTTGACCTACGGCAGACGGAGCCGTCAGAACCACAAGCGCGCCAGTCCCGGGAGAGGTACAAAGTGATGCTAAGAACTGCCCGCAGGTGGAGAGGAGGGACACCGGCAAAGCTCATCCGGGTTGAGCACATTGGATTTCCCTTCAGCACATGGCAGGAAGCCCAGGGGCCCCTTAGCTTTGGCTGGCTACCACTCCTCTTGGGTTCCCAGGGAGGTCCCTAGGCGAGAGGCAGGCCTGGCAGGGTGGCGGGGGCGCATCCTGAGAAGCCATTTCTTCCACTTCCAGCCCTGAACACAGCTCCTCTGACAGCGAGGAGGCAGATGTGGAGACAGCAGGCCCAGGGCAGGGGCCATCCTCCCAAGAACGGAGGTAACTCCGGGGTCTCCCTCCCCGTGCTGTAGGCCCCCAGACGTGGGCCAGCATTGGTGTGGTGAGAATGGGTATCGTTGTTTTATAATCTGGCATAGGGGACGCCGGTGTGGCCAGACCTGCTGTTCCCAGGCCTTTTGAGTGACATCAGGCTTCCCACTCCATGGAATCTTAGTCCAGCCCCTGAAAACAGCTCCCCAGTTTGATCTTGCCCCTGCTGCTGGTCCCAGCAGAAGTAAAGAGAAAGTGTAAGGCCAGCTGTTAGCCAAATGTGAAAAGAGCTGGTAAATTAAAGAGCAGTGTCCAATCGGGGCCCCACTGTGGCCCAGGATGAACGAGAACTGTGGGTCACAGCTGCCTGAAGCACCAGGAATGTCAGAGCCAGGCTGCAGGATGATGTAACAGCTCAGACATAGAATGTGGGCGTCCCAGGAAGACAGGGTGTGAAGTGCTGGAAGGTCCCCTGCCGTAGCCTGTGGTACAGCAGCACCCCAGGGAGCCGCGGCCACACCAAGTTCTGGCTTTTCCTTTGCACCTGCCCATAGACGTCTCCTTCCTCCTCCCACACACTCCGGGTAAGGCCTTGCTCATTCAAGGAGAGGGAGTCAAGGTCAGTGTGGCCCTTTGTCCTGCTCTGAGATGCTGGCTGCCTGGTTGCCAGGCACCAGGCCCAGGTCCTCCTCTGAAGGCTGCAGCTCCAGCTAGATCTGGGCCACACCCAAAACTGGCCCTTCAGCTTCTCACTTCATCTCTTCAGATACAGGAGAAAACTAGTTCCTACCTCAGAGGACCCCAAGGCAATGCACATGGCAAATGCTGTTGGTGGCAACTGTGGTGGCCCAGGATTTGGATGTTAGAAATGTTCCCTTTTGTGCAGATGGGAAATTAGCCATACATCTGTGGAGAAGGCTTGCCATAAGAACATTTCTGGTCCATGGTTTTGGTTTTTTCTTTCTTTCAAGAGTTTCACTCTAGCCAGGCTGGCCTCAGACTCACAGCAGTCCCCCTGTGTCACATGCCAGCCCACATGCTTTCCAGACATTTCCATCGGTTGGATTTAACCCAGCTGAGAACATTTGTTCGTTTGCCTCTCCTGTTGGGTGGAGTCACTGTGCAGCTGCTTCTGACAAAGGCTTGCTGCCTGTCTTAGGGTTGCTGTTGCTGTAATGAGACATCATGACCAAGGCAGCTTGGGAAGGAAAAGGTTTATTTCACTCGTGGTTCATATAATAGTTCATCATCAAAAGCAGTGAGGGTAGGAATTTACTCAGGAGCCATGCAGGGGCCACGGAGGAGTGCTGCTTACTGGCTTGCTCCTCACGGCTTGCTCAGACTGATTTCTTATAGACCCTAGGACCACCAGCCCAGGGATGGCACCATCTGTAACAGGCTGGGCCCTCCCCCATCAGTCACTAAGAAAATGTCCTACAGCTGGATTTTATGGAGGCATTTTGTTAAATGAGGTTCCCTCCTTTCAGGTGACTCCAGCTTATGTTGACATAAAACTAGCCAGAACAATGCCCATTGCTAAGGGGAAATCCAGAAGGATCATCATCTCACATGCTTCCCAACCAGACTGCAGTGGCTGTAGACATTGCTGCAAGCATGCCCTTACTTTGGAATGGGAGCTGAAACCACATACGATATTCCTCTTTTCCGGGTTGGGAGGTCTGGCCTTCAGGTGGCAGGGGTTAGGTTGGTTTTCCTGTGTCACAGGGACTGTACTGGGAAGAGCCAGCTTCTCCAGCAGCTGAGGGCGTTTCGGAAGGGGGCTGTTCCATCCCATCGGTCCACCAGTGACAGTCCTAGAGGCCAGAAGGCTCAGGCCCCAGAAGATACAGGATCCCACACTAGGAGGAAGAAACACATAAAACTCTGGGCTGGGAAGCAGAAAGCCCTGGATCTAGGGGACCCTCTTGGGACACAGCCCGCCAGAGAGGTGCTGCTACCTGCTACGGGCCAGCTATATTCAACTCAGGTAAAGGACCTGAAAAGCAGGTCGGGTGGCAGATTTCCATCCACACAGCCCTGGTGCTCCCTCTATAGTCAGCCTCTGGAGGCTGAGACCCTCGCTCTGGACCCCACCCAGCCAATTTAAACATATGTAAACTTTTTTGTTGTGGTGGCATTGGGAACTGTATCCAGGATACTACCAGAAGTTCCAACACCAGAAGTCACTCTGTGTGAAATGCAGTGGTACCCACTCTCCCTCCCTGGTATCCAGTGAAAGCTGTGTGACCAGCCAAGGCCTGACCCCCACAGGGAACACCTGAACTTCCTCTACCTGGTTACTTGCAAGCTTGCCCCCCTCCCCCATCTCACCCCCAGACTCCATCTTTAGGGTCTTTTGTACCTGCTTTCTCAGCCCCTTTGATTTCATGCCACCTCATCTCTCCTGAGTCTTCCCCACCTGTTCTGTGGATGAGCAGAGAAACCACTACCAAGGCAGGGCTTGGGTGGCATGGCAGAGTTCAAGTCACAGGGCAGGATACTTGGCATCTGACAAATGTTTTAGCAGTCAGCTGTGGTGGTGGTGGGAGTTGTCACTGCCAGCTGCCCTGCTGCTGAAGATAGGCAAGGATCTTAGTGTCAAGTCCTGAGCCACACAAAGGACAGACAGGTCCTATGGCAGGATCACAAACGGATCACTGTTGTCACTGGTAGCCAGCATCAAGCCCACAGTATCCTGACCCACAGACCCTGTCTGATATGGCCGTAGGGACTGCACCATTAATCCCAACCCCAAGACATATCCTTTAGAAGCCGCGTGCAAGTCAGGCCTCCCCCAAGGCCACAGGCAGCCTCCCTGTGCGGGGCAGGCTGCCCTGTCCAAGTGCAAAGGTGCCTTGCTTGAACTCCAGGGCAGCATGGCTCCCCGCTCTGCCCAGCAGCTTCTGCTTCAGCCACTTAGCCATCAAGAACAAAAGTGCCTCACTGTTCCTAACCCTGCTTTCTCCCAGCCCCACCCCACTTGATGTTAGAAAACCCGCTGGGAATGAATCCTAGTGATAGGAAATAAATTCTGCTGCAATTCCACTGTGCCTGTCAATCACTGGCTTTCAAGGAATGCTGGAGGGTGTGGGTGGACATAGGTCCAAAGCCAGATCTACCACCTGGGCAACGTCATCATGCCTCAGAAGATCATGCAGGAGATGGCTGAGAAAACAAGTACAAAAGGACACCAAAGGTGGGAGTCTTGGGGGTTATAAAACCGAGTCAGAGCTGGGCGGTGGTGGCGCATGCCTTTAATCCCAGCACTTGGGAGGCAGGCGGATCTCTGTGAGTTCGAGGCCAGCCTGATATACAGAGCGAGATCCAGGAAAGGCGCAAAGCTACACAGAGAAACCCTGTCTTGAAAAACCAACCAACCAACCAACCAACAAAAAACTGAGGTCACCTATAGGACCAGGTGAAGTGTCATCATGGAACACACCTAGCACCTGAAACATCAGGAATGACAAGGCCATGAGGTGAAGACAGGATCCCAAACAGGAAGGGCCCCGTTGGTGGTGTGTGTGTGGGGGGGGGGGGCGCTCCATATGAGAAGCCCAAGAAATGCACATCAGGCTGCGGTGGCAGCAGGGACAGGAACCTAGGGCTGGGGCTGCGCGTCTGCTAGCTCGGGGGCGGGAGGGGGGGGCGGGGAGCCTCTGCTGTTTCCATGGGCACCCTGAGTGCTCTTGAGGCTGGTGTGGGAGAGAAACGCCATACCAAAGCTTCATTCTCTAGAGAAGAGGCAGAGCAGATGGGGTCAGGGCGAGGGCCGACATCTATTATGGGAGTGAAGAAAAATCAAGGAACAACCCCTGGCCTGTGTGATGGGAAAGCACAAGGTGGGTGACAGAACAAACAGAAGGAAACGTCAAAAATGACACCCTGGGGAGAGAGCTGGGCAGGTAAAGGCACCAGCTGTGTTTGCCGCCTGAGACATCCGTGTTTGCCGATGGAGACATCCGACCAGCTGCCTCTGACCTCCACATATACACACAGTGCACACACCTGCACATACATACACATGATTTTTTTAAATAAGATTTATTTAATGTATATGGACGCTTTGTCTGCATGTACATCTGTCTGCACCTCAGAAGAGGTCATCTGATCCCATGAGACTACAGTGACAGATGGTTGTGAGCCACCGTGTGTGACAAGTCTTTCTCTGTCCCACCAGCTAGCTCCCAAATAACGACATGGAGACTTGAAAGCTCGGCCTATAGCTTAGACTTGTTCCTATCTAGCTCTTATAATTTAACCCATTTTTTTGTTGTTGTGTTTTTTGTTTTTCAAGATAGGGTTTCTCTGTGTAATAGTCCTGGAACTCACTCTGTAGACTGGGATGGCCTCAAACTCACAGAGATCCGCCTGGCTCTGCCTCTCGAGTGCTGGGATTACAAGTGTGCACCGCCATCGTCTGGCTCCCATTTAGTTTAATCTACATTGGGCAGCGCATCTCGTTACCTCATCCCTCTGTACTGCCGATGCTGCTTCCTCTGCGTCTAGCTGGCGACTCTGCCTTTCTTCTTCCCAGAATCCTCTCTGTTCCTGGAAGTCCTGCCTAACCTGCTCCTGCCTAGCTATTGGCCATTCAGCTTTTTATTAAACCAAACAGAAAGCACCTTGTCAAAGACACATCTTCACAGTGTAAACAAATATTCTGCAACAACCGTGTGGGTGCTGGGAACTGAACTCTGGACCTCTGAAAGAGCAGCCAGTGCTCTTAACCACTGAGCCACCTCTCCAGCTCCGCTACATTTTTTTTTAAATTTTATGTGCACTGGTATTTTGCATATATGTATGCCTGTGTGAGGGTGTCGGATCCCCTGGAACTGGAGTTAGAGTTGTGAGCTGCCTTTTGGGTGCTGGGAATTGAACCCTGGTTCTCTGGAAGAGCAGCCAGTGCTCTTAACTGCTGAGTCATCTCTCTGGCTCCTTCACATGATAAATGTTTTTAAAAATGTATTCAGCCATGAGGAACAGACATACTACCTGGATGGAACATCCCAGAACTTCACAGCTTCAAAAGCTGCCTCATAACTTCAGTAACTACTACCAAGGTGTCTACTTCAGCTCTCAGTCATTCACCCAAGCATGGGTGTGGACTGATCACAGGCCAACGAGGCTTGGAGAAGAAGAGGATAATGAGGGTCAAGGCAACCCAGGCTCCTCACCCCAGGGACAGGTCCTCAACCCCCAGGCTTCCCAGGAGGGTGAGATCTTGGGAAAGTATTCCCACCCAGTCACCCCCTTTTTACAGAGCAGCTCTGAATCTGCAAAGGGGACCCAAACTCACCTAATACCCTACTGGCTCCTGAACAAGCCCTACATTTTCTTTTTGTAAAGTCTGGAAGGAGAGTCTGCGTTCTGCGTTCTGGCTGGAGAATGCTGGTTGGGCAGCAGTCAGGGTCCGCTACACAATACCACAGTATAAACACCCACAGCTCTTACGTTTGCCATTGAGTGCACTGCAGAGAACCCTCCCCCCAAAAAAATCCATACCCTCTTAATCCTCAGAACACAAGTTTAAAGTTGGGTGTGGTGGCACACACCTTTAATCCTGGCACTTGGGAGGCCAGGTGGACCCTGGAGTTCAAGACCAGCCTGGTCTACAGAGCAAGTTCCAGAACAGAGAAACCCTGTCTCAAAAAACCAAAAGAAAAAAAAAAGAGAGAGGGAGGGGGAAAGGAAGGTGTCGTGGGGCCCAATTAAAGGGCCATTAGCAGCAGTAGCCACTTTAAGCTGAAAAGGGATGGATTCTCTACCATGTCCTATGTGGACAACCGTCACTGCCAACATCGTGATAAATTATGAGAGGTTTCCGTTCCAGAAGCCACTAGGCTATGTGGTCTGTAATGCAGGAGATACTCCTTCCTGCTCTGGGCCCTGGGTACACTGAAGGTACTTTGCAATGTCCTCATGGTGGCCACAGGACACAGAGAGGTAGTCCAAAGATATTTCCAGGTCCGGTTTGCTGCACTGACTCTGAGCCTGGTGGCTTCTGGAGAAGTTCTGGCTGTGGAGAGCATCATGCATTATTGGTCAGGCTCTGGCCTAGAGAATCCTGGTCTGCACACTGGGGCTGCATCACAGAATGGACGAGGCACAGTGGCTGGCATGGGACTGATCTTCCTTGCGCAGCCGTCTCAGGGGTATCAGGAGTGGGAAGGATACCACCTTCAGCAGCTGACTCAGCCAACGACGTAAGGACTACTTTGCCCATAATGCCTGTCATCGACTGGCTCCTGAGGCCTCAGCTCTAGACCTGACAGGCTGCTCAGCCCACGAAGGGGACTACATTGCCCACAATACATTGTGTGGCTATTACAGGTGGATCCACAGTATGCAGTGTGGGTAATACACTTCAGTTGCTAAGTCACTCAGTCTCCATTTCATCCATTCCTGAGTGGGGGTAGGAAAATCGTAATGGAAGAAACCTTGAAAGTTTGTTATTTATTTACTTATTCATTTATTTTGAGACAGGGTCTTTCTCTGTAACTCTGGCTGCCCTGGAACTCATTATGTAGAACAGGCTGGTCTCGAACTCACAAAAGTCCTCTTGCCTCTGCTTCCTGAGTGCTGGGATTAAAGGTGTGCATGTTGATTTTTTTTTTCTTCAAAGATGGTCTCATGTAACCCATGCAGGCTTCAAATTAACTATGTTCGTCAATCTAACCTTGAACTTCGGATCCTCCAGCTTTGACCTCACAAGTGCTAAGATTACCTGCACTCTCTATCACAACTGGTCCATAGAGTGCTGGGGATCTCACCCAGACCTTTGTGTATGCTGGGCAGGCACTCTACCTGTGTTACATCTCCAGTCCCATTTCAAATTTCTTTGGTGAGTCTCTTTATTTTGGACATCCATTTTTAAGTCTTGTGGGAAATACACAGAAGTACACTTGTAATTTGTATCTACATATTCAAACAAGCTTGTGCACACGAGCATATAAAATGATGAGACTGGGTTGGCATTGGGAGTAAATATACAGCAGGGGGGGAGAAAGGAAGGATGTTGTTGGGAGAGAGAAAATATTAGAGAAAAGGTGTTGCAGAATATTTGTTTAGCTATGTAAAGATGTGTTGCATTTGTTTCTTTTGCCTGACTAAGGCACCTGATTGGTCTAATAAAAAGCTGAACGGCCAATAGCTAGGCTGGAGGTATAGGCGGGACTTCTGGACAGACAGAGTAAGTAGGAGGAGGAATCTAGGCTGGACAGAGACAGAGGGAGACAGAGGGAATAGAAGAAAGAAAAGAGGAGAACAGGGAGATGCCAGGGGCTGGCCAGCCAGACGCAGAGGAAGCAGGAAAGTAGGACATACAGAATGAAAGAATGGTTAAAAAGCCCCGAGGCAAAACATGGATGAATAGAAACAGGTTAGATAAGGTTATAAGAGCTAGTGGGAGAAGCCTAAACTGAGGCCCAGCATTCATAATCAATAGTAAGGATCCGTGTCTTTATTTGGGAAGCTGGTTGGTGGCCCAAAGAACAATCCAACTACAGAAAGGACCCTTAACTCACTTAAATGCTACTTCAGAAGGGAAGCTTTAGTTCTTTAAAGGCTTCCTTAGAAAGGGTGGGTGTCAGGACTGAGGGAAACAAACAAGTGCGGGGCTTCCCCGGGACCCTGCTAGGGACTGAAGCGCTCTGCAGAGGCCGGAGGCTGTGTATACCCGAGGGATATACCTAGGCATGTGAGTCTTTCCTCTTCCCATCGGGCATGTAGACTGCTCTCAGGAAGTAGGAAATGCCCCCTTGAGGCTCCAATTTCCAAAAAGTAAAACTTCAAAATAAACTGGGAGCAATGCCAGACACCTCTGGTTCCAGCTACTCCTGAGGATGAGGCAGGAGGATGGCTGAGTAGCCTGAGTGACAGAGAACCAGTTGGCAGCAAAACAAAAGAAATGGATGCTAACTGCTAATAGTGGTCCCTCGGGTCAATTCCCATGTGCCCTCAGCGAGTGCCACCCTGACTGTCCCTTCCCAGATCAGCTCTGCCTGTCTCTTCTTCCTTTTCCTGAGCTGGGGTGGAAGCCCAGG